TAAGGAACCAGCAGATCAAGTAGCTTTTGGAATAAAACACCAATTTTTTTAAAATTAAACACTATCTAAAGATTTGCATCGAAGCGTTTATTTTTGATAGTGATTTTAATCACTGTCAGATATCATTATACTTGATCCAACTATACCACGTCACAACTGTGCCGCGACCCCCCTGTGCTGGGTTTTTTTATATTATTATTCTTATAATAGATAATATTCAGAATTTTTAAAAAGTCATTTTCCCTAAATTTAATAGAAATTTTTAATTAATGTAAAATTGAACGTTTACAATTTTTGTAGAAAAAAAAATTATAATAATTTATTTTATATGCAATTTTATTATCTTTGATATTTAAAAACATAATTGCCATAAATATAAATTGGACATAGCTTTCACAGCATTTTACGTTTATTGGCATTTTTTTTTTTTACTAGGAGTTATTGATTTTACAGACAATTAATAATAAATTTTTGAGTAAATTACGAATTCAAAAAAAGAACATGATTTATCAAAAACAGAAATAATATTTAAAATTTCTTTTTGTTTTCTTTATGGTACAATATATAAATAAACATTAAATAAATTGGATCATGTTAATTTATTTTAAATATTATAATTGACATTCATATATTAAAATTAAAATAATCCAACTGCAAATTAAATTGGATATCCATTTTTAGTAGCATAGTTAATGATGTAAGTATAACCATTTCAGCAGAAATGTTACCTCTACATCATGGACAATTATTTTCATGAGCATAGAGTAAGCAAAAAATTTTACCATTTTCAGCAGCAAGCCTTCTAGTGCCTTCATCCCACGGACACTGATTTTCATGAACGTATTTTAGGCAGTCTAAATGACCATTTGCAGCAGCTCCACTTGTTGTTCCTTCATCCCATTTACATCCATTATCATGTGCAAATATCAAACATTTTATATTATTACTTGCAGCAGCTTCCCTTGTTATGCCTTCATCCCAGGGACACCCATTTTCATGAGCATATTTTAGGCAGTCGATATGTCCATTAGCTGCCGCTCCTCTCATGATACCTTCAACCCAATCAAATCCATATTTACGAGCATATATTAGGCAATCTAAATTACCATGCATAGCTGCTGCCACTATAGTATCTTCGTCCCAATTACATCCCATTTCATGAGCATATTTTAGGCAGTCTAAACAACCACTTGCTGCAGCAGCTTTAGTTGTACCCTCATCCCAGACACATTCATTTTCATGTGCATATTTTAAACATTCAAAACAACCACTTGTTGCGGCAGCTCGAATTGTGCCTTCAACCCAAACACATCCATTTTCATGGGCATACTTTAAACAATCGAAACAACGACTTGCAGCAGCATCACGCAAAGTTCTTTCGTCCCATATATATCCATTTTCATGAATATATCTTATAACGTCTAGATTACCCTTTACAAAAGCACTTTTCATGATATTTTGATTCCATTTACAGCCATTTTTATAAGCATATTTCAAGCATTCTAAATTACCGTTGGAAGCAGCTGCTTCTGTTGTGCGTTCATCCCAGGGACATTTATTTTCATGTGCATATTTTAAAATACCTAAATCACCTATTATTGCAGCCGCAATAGTTGTACGTTCATCCCATTTACAGCCATTTTCACTAGCATATTTTACACATTCCAAACTACCATTAGAAGCAGCTGCAAATATTGTATTTTCATTCCATGGACATTTATTTTCGTGTGCATATTTTAAAATATTTAAATGACCTTTTATGGCAGCCATATAAGTTGTACTTTCATCCCATAGACATCCATTATTATGTGCATATTCTAAGCATTTTAAATTACCATAAAATGCAGCTATTTTTGTTGTGTTTTCATCCCACGGACATGCAATTTCATGTAAATATTTAAAATTTTCTAAATTACCATTTATGGCAGCCATATAAAATGTTTTTTTATCACACTGATATCCATTACTATGGACATATTTTAAAATTTCTAGATCACCCCTTACAATAGCACTTGTAGCAATAATGGATTTATTCCATTTACAGCCATTTTCATAAGCATATTTTAAGCATTCTAAATTACCATTAACTGCAGCTGCTTTTGTTGTACTTTCATCCCACGGACAGCCATTTTTATGTAAATATTTTAAACATTCTAAATATCCATTAGCAGCAGCAGCTCTTGCTGTGCCTTCATCCCATTTACAACCATTTTCAAAAGCATATTTTAATAGCCCCAAGTTTCCACTTTCTGCGGCTTTTCTCATTGTACCATCTTCAAATTGGTATGTTTGTTCATCATCCCAATTTGTATATTGAATTGCTAAATGAGCAAAATTATTAATCAACTTATGTAATGTAAAAACTTAAAAATTTATCTTATTGAAACAGAGACATATCAATTAAAGTTATTGATTTTAGAGTTATTAATATATTACATTGATCATCAAGTTATACTCGAATTATGATATTTTTTATCATTGGATTTATTTAAGTCATGTCCACTTTTTCAACTAATTATAATTGGTAAATATGGCTATATTGCTATAGAAATACATGATACATTTTCGATTACAAAATAAATTTGAAGCATTTTTTAATGAAAAAGACCAAAAAATACTTTCAATGCAATATTATTTTAATGATATGGGTCTCTTAATCGAAACTCTTGTGTTAATAATTATTTTTTATATTATTAGTATATAAAATATTTATTAAATATATTACTATGTATATAATATATTTATTATAAATATTTATACAATACTTTATGGATTCATTTAAATCGTACAAATTTTAAATATTGATTCATAAAATTATTTGCATGAAATTTTGTTTAATATTGAGTAGCCATATGAGTAAGAAAAATCCTAGTTTGATATAAACATACAATTTTTTAGGATGGTCTAACACAGAAGGGTTTCACATATTAACTAAACTATAACAAAATCTTTATAATTAATTAATTAAAACCACATAATAAAATAGTGTAATATGAACATGAAATCGATTCTCACAAGGAGAAATTAGAATGCTGGGGAGTCCCTTATATTGTGAAGGTGTCACGTTACCCTTATTTTGAGAATTTATTATAATGAAATACAAACAGCACATCCGCTTCCTGAGACTGATAAATTTACAATTAGTATTTATTGCTAAATTGACAACAGTCCAAATTACTATAAAAACCCAAAAGACCTGGACATCTGGATCAGTCGACTTCAGTGCTTTGTATTATTCATCAGTCTCAGTACACGGTTGTTACTATCCGGCTTACTGCATAAAGTCAAGCCTGTGTTTTCCTTTTTCGCCTACCACATCATCTTCATCATCATAGTCCTCTTTTCTTTCATTTATGTTACGACAATATTCAATTTAAATAAGATAAAAATCAAACAAACTATGTGTTTTTTCACCTTTAAAAGAATTTAAAAACTTATTTTGACGGGTGGAGTTCGAACATTGTACGCTGAGCGTGAAAGGCATTGTTGGTACCGCCCAAATACCGCAAAACACATCTAACAGTAGTTTATAAGAACAATTTAAGCTAGTTCAAAAATTCAAAATAGTTTTTTTTTAATTAGAGGAAACAAAATATTCAAAATAAGTTTAAATTTATATTCAATACGATAGCCATTTGCGTGTAGGAAATTAGTTAGGGACAATTAATTTTATTATTTCTAATTTAATTCTAATTAATATATAATGTTTCAAAATACCATATATAGAGAGATTTTTTTATCATAAACCACTCAATTACTTACAGAATAATAATAATTAAAACATTTTTTTTTATTATCTTTAGTTAACATCTTTAATTAATTGGTTTTAGGGCATCGTTGTCACAGTCACAGATTGTTTATTATCAATTATGGTTATCAATTTATATAATTTCTATATTGTCAGTTAGTGTATTTATAAACTCATAACAATGTGTCTAACTACCATTGATAATAACACTGCTGTGTACTTACTAATATCGATATCATAAAAAACCAATTAGCAACCTGTATTTGTAAACCATTATGTATTATACATGTATATTAACTCAAAATTTTGAAACTTTAAATGATTATATCTAATAAACGAATTAAGTTATATTAAAAATTCAAATGCCATTTACTATTAAATTAAAAACTCAAACATTTTATTAAATTCAAAATATGTGTACTTATTTAAAAAAACAAATTTGACACCCTTACCAGGCATAAGGAATGAACTTAGAAAGTATTACATAGTTAATAATTCAAGAATAATGTGTAACTAAAGATAATAAAAAAAAAAAATGTTTCATTTATTATTATTCTGTAAGTAATTAAGTTGGTTATGATAAAAAATCATTCTGTATAATACAGATCACAGGGCTATGGTATGATCGCATTGCGAACGTATATGTTTTCTATAGACCTATACGTCGTAAGACGACTTCGTGTGCCCGATGCACATTGTGGCATTGTGTAGTAGTCGATATAGTATAGTAATGTACGATATCGGTAATGTCGTCGTGCCGTCGTTAAAACCCATTTAAAAATAAATAAAACGCACAGTATCGCAAGACACGGTCGTATTGAAACCAAACACTAATTTTATCTGTTTATTTTATCTAATTCGTTATCGACCTTTCTTTATATTGTAGTTTAAGTAATACTGCACTATAGAATGTGCATGTTGACTACTGCGTGATTTTGCTTAGGACATATAGGTCTATGGGCTAGTACTACAGTAAATAAATTCACGTGAATTATTGTATTATATACTTATTTTAATAAAAAGTGAAAAATAATACAAGAAAAGACAGTACTTATCTTATAGTGAAAAGTGAAAAAGTGTAAAAATGAAACGAGCTTTATCTCTTCAAAAATATGTAAAAAATCTTGCAAAACAACTTCTTTGTATAGTTGACTGAATCTAAATAAAGCAAGTTGTTCGACCCAGTTAAATTTAGCCACACAAAACTCAGCATCTCCTGAGGAATCTCAATTATCGGAACCAGTTAAAGAAAAAGAAATAATCGAGAAAATTTCAGAAAATGAAAACCCAAGTGAAACCCTCACACAAGAAATTCCAATTTCTAAATCTGAAGCAAATAAACAAAACTCCGATGCTCAGGCATTTGAAAATTATCGCCGAGATGGCAAGTACTACGTAAAATGTAAATACTGCAACATGTTTCCAAACATAGTGAAGCTTCATGGAACAATGACTCGATTGCCTGCGATGATAACAGATGGTACTAGATTTAGAAACGATACGATAGAAAAACATATTTCTCAGAAATATCATTCGGAGTCTGTGAAAGCTTTTAGATTATCTACTTTAAAAGTACCAGAAAAAGCAAAATAATGTACTATGGATAAGATGCTCCCACAAATAAACGAGGACCTAGCAAATAAAATTGGTAGATTAATGATACATACATATGCTGACGCAAAAAAAATTACAAAAAAAAAATTCAATATTTGACCCCAACCGCACATAAAGAATTTATTCAGTGTATTATTAAAAGTGATCATAGTGTGCAAGATATACTGAGCTCTAACATTTTATCGCTTTCTTTGAGATGTGATGGCAGTGTGGACCGTATGCAAATAGACAAGATATATGTTTTTGCAAAAGTCATAAAAAAATCTGGTGAATCAGTTCAATATTTCCTTGGGTTAAGTGAACCATCTTGTCAAGGTGCTGAGAGAATACTTGGTGCAATAGAGAACGCCATCGATACTACTGTAGAAGAAGGAATGTCTAGACAACTTTTTGAATTTGCCACCTCTTTGGTAACAGATGGAGCAGCAGTGAACACTGGTTGTAGAGCAGGGTTGTGGGAACTCTTTAGGCAAAAGTACAAGATTAACTCAAATCTTCCTTTCATTACCATATGGTGTGCAGCACACAGATCGGATTTGGCTTTCAAATCGAGTAGTAATTGTGTTGGAGAGTTGAAATATATTTTTTCAGAGTTAATTGGTTTAAGCTCATTTCTACACTCTTCCAGCTTAAGAACCAAGCATCTCCAACAGGCGGCCGAAAAAAATAAATGCACTCTTTCGCGGTTGCCTCGTTTATTTGAAGTGCGGTGGTCCGAATTTTCGTTTGATTTAATCAATTCAGTTTTGGTTTCTTGGAATGCTTTAGTATTGTTCTTAAAAGATTGTCCTGACAAAGAGGCAAGAGGATACAGACTTTTTTTAATCAATTATAACAATCTACAAATCCTGGCATTTATTGCAGACGTATTGATGGTTTTCAGCAGATATCAGAAAAAACTGCAGTCTGATACAATTACAATTTTAGACATGGACAAAGAGACAGTAATCATTATATCCAGGCTTAAAATATTAAAAACGGAAGCGTTGCTTGGTGGATGGGTGACAACCTTAAAAGAACAGTTAGAAATTCATAGTGAAAATGAGGTTTTACTAAAAGGAGAAGTCTTAACAAGAAATCGAAAACATCGTTTAAAGGAACATCACAAGTTTGTTTCTCAGAATCGAGACTACTCCGCAATCTGCAATGAAATTGTGGATTTTTTTGTAAATTTTTTGCAGGAAAGATTCGATATTGATGCGGATACTGTTAAAATTTTGAAACCATTCACTGAGCTAGAGCCATCCGTTGATATGAAAGCAGTTCATAAATTGATAGGAAACAACTTAGATCTTGCTGAACTTTCAATGGAATATTCGGAGCTTCTCACTTATAAAAATATTGAGCAATTAAAAAAAATCAGCTTAAAAGAAACTCTTCAGGCTTTAGTGATGAAAAATTGTTTTCCCATTGTTTCTGTTATAATGGCCAGAATTGTTGCAGCAAAACCTCATTCCGCTGATGTTGAAAGAGTGATTAGTGTGAACAATTTGTTGAAAACCAGCAATAGAAGCAGTCTAAGTATTGAAAGCGAGAATGAATATCTATATATTTATTTTAATCTTCCTCCATTAGCCGAATGGAATCCTCGTCCAGCAATTAATGAGTCGTTTAAAAAAAAAAGGAGAGTTAGAGAAACTGTTACGGCGAAAAAACAAGAGTGGTATAAGGGAATATTTATAAGTGCAAATAATAACCAAAAAGATTCGCAAACTGAAGAAAAAGTTCCTACGAGAATGTTTTAAGTTTTGTTTGTACTGATTTAAATTTTGAGATAACTTATTTTTTTATTATATATTTTTCTGTTTCCTTTTTTTAAAGTTTTAGGATTTATTGTAATAATAAAACACTAGTCATCATCAAATGTAGCACTTTTTTTTACCCCCACTAACCTACTAAAGTCTTTATGAAATTTTATGTTTTAAAAAACGTTTTTACTAACATAAAAAGCAAAAAATGTTGCCTGTGTCCCCACCGAATCCCCGCATAGCTCTGTTATCCGAAAAGTACTTCGTTATGTTTGATGTTTATGTTGATGCACAACATAAAAAAAGGACAGTGGGTAGTAGAAAAAAACATTATAATAAGGCCTGTCAGATCATATACAGTAATTGCAAAATTTTAATTAAACAACTATTCTAAAATTTAAAACTGTTAAAATATTTAGATTTAAAATATAAATTCATCTATTATTTAAAAAGTTTAAGAAAAAATGCAGAAAAAATATCGAAATTTTGTATGTAATTCGTTCCATTTATCAATCCTATGTGTATCGATTTAAAATAATATAAAATAGAGACACATCAAACTTAATAGGAATAAATAACGTAGAATATAGTTTACCTTCATTAAATATCAAACACGATATTATTAACAAAAGCGATATTATTTGCCAATTCTACAATATAATATAATAATATTTTAGTTTTAAATCAATCACTTTAGGTAAAATGTATTACTCACCGCCATTTTCACTAAAAATGTTAAAATCAAATAACTAATGACAATTTCTTTGTTATATTGGGTTATATATACACAATAACACAAATAATTAATTTTTTTTATAGCTCTAAATTTACAGTAAATATTATAGCATACCAAAAAATTTTTTATTCTTAGTCTATCTATTCATACACAAGTTGAAAATAATAGCTAAATTTTCATTGGCAGAACACTTTCTAGATTTAAAAATAAAAGGCAAATTATAAATAGATTTTTATTTATTTATTTTACAATGTTAAAGTAATCCAAACTGTTCTTAAGGTATTTTTAATAAAATAAGATGTTATATTTAAGACATCTATAGATTATATCTAACAGTGATATTGTAATCACTATTATAAAAAAGGCTACGTTTTAAATCTGAAGAGAGTTTTCAATTTAATAGTAATTATTGAATTACTCTGAAAGCAATATTTTCTTCTATTTCCTTAATTACTTCATTACTAGTGTTGTGATTTTTAAAATTAATACATATAAATAATAAATAAATACTGTATAAATGAAATTAAGTATGAAATTGATATTCAATAATTTGTAATATTGTTTTAAATTGCTAATACAATAAAAAAATATATAAACATTTTATATTATTATTACTCTATTTTTACATAGTATGGGGATTTTTTTCTCGCCGCGTATATAATTATTTTAAAGACAATGAGGTTCCTATTTTAGTTTGGGTGTGCGGGGATTGCTTTTGAAAGGACTATAGTTTGTCCTGCGTTGTGTATAAGGGGTTATATGGGAGGTTATGGGCCCGTAGCATGGGCGAGATGAAGTTGAATACTGTCAAAAATTTTGACCGAAAAGAACGCGCTTGATTTTATTACCGGCAGCGAGCGAGCTGTTCGTTCGGACTATACGTTGAGTTGTGTGTTGGTGTAGCGGTGATAGAAATTTATACTTTGGCTAGGAGAGCCAGCTAATATTTTCGTGGATGTTGTTCGTTTCCCAAAACTGTCGTCCTATTAGGAAAATATTTGTCTTGCCAGTGATCCGCTCTACAATATTGTTAGGGTTGGATTAGGACATTTTGCGTTAGTCTCGTCTATCCGCTGTCGGATGGCCTATAGTGGTTGGGGAGGTATAGAACGCGGCACATACGGATTAATGTTGACTTAAGTCTACCCGTGCATAAGAGCCTGTCGAGATCGTCTGATGCACGATGACATCGCATTTTTACGTTGCCGTAATATTCGTCGCAAAAAAGACTACCCGATCTACTATGGGCTTTGAACAACTAGACTACTATAGTCATTAGAAAAAAGCACACCCATCCCTAGACGTTGTTTATTTATAATATACTTCGTCATTCGCTGATGGTTCCTTTGTTGTATTTTTATGAGTTCGTTTGCCAGCTTCTCTTAAATGCTCCTATTGTCGAACGTCGCGAGAAACTCCCTTGTAAATTTGTGCCAGGACATGTTGATTCCAAAGAACATGGCATTTACTTCCAAGTAATTGCCATGTTTCTTGAAAAGTGTACCTCGGTTTACATCCACAAAATTGTAGGGAATACTGAACTGGGTCAGGAGATTTTGTAGCTGCTACAGAAACTCCCTCAAAACCCCCTTATATCTTTTCAAGGCGTCAGCGCTGGCACATATTTGGCCACCACAATTACGCCTTGATAAATTTTTACATAGATATAAATATTTTTGAATCTTGTTTTGGCCAAGCCAAAGGAAGATTTCAAAAATATTGGTTTCAATCTCTCAATAAAATATTCTTTCTCAAAAAAATACTTATTCAACAAACGTAAAAAATTAATAAGGACAAATTATAAATTATATTACTAATTAATATAATAGAGTGTTTAGAATCTTTTACAAGTAAAATCAGTCATAGATTTGTGTAGTTAAATTGTTGTTTGAGCAAGTTGCGTAACACTAAGCAGTCAGCTGATGGCCGGCTTATTTCCTCGTCCGAGACGGGTATTATGTAGAATGCTCTAAAGGCTTACGGTGGGGGTAAGCCGGTCCGTGTGTATAGCTGCCCAACGCAGTGGACAACACTGGACGTGAATGTTTTTATTAGTATTGCTTGATAGTATTGTATTGGATACGCTGTTGTTGAGATACGCACGGCCTTTTTTTTCGTTTACGTACGGTGATAAATATCCAGTGGGATTTTGTGTTGATTTGTCGTCAAATATACCATGTTGGTTCCTGTTTGTGCTGTACTCGGGCCATCGTCCTTTTTTATTATTGTGGAAGATCGTCGGTCTTCCATTACCTGGACCGGTGGCGAAAAGTCGGAGAATCCGTGGATGGACTCGGCGTGGATATTGTATTTGTAATTGTATGTAAACTTATATTTAATTTTTTTTTCTTTTGTTAAAAATATTTGTATTCTTTGGAGGACGTCCAGATTTAATTATTGTAATGAAACTGTAATATTAAAAAAACCATTGTAATTGTATGAATGGTAACCTTTTTTTTTTATGTTTATTTTTTCCTTTTATTTTCCACTATTAATGATTACAAACAATTATTGAGATTTGGTGGGTCATTATTAGTCATACAGACCAACCGTCTATTAGGAGTCCGGTGACAAACATTTTGGTAGCAGAGCGTAGTTATGTAAAATTGGGTGGTCCTAGGTTAAGTAAAAGTTTTTTTTTTTTTTTAATAGCACGTCAGACAGGCCAATTCATTAGTTATGATTGGTAAATTTTAGTTATTATTATTGAATATTAATTGTTTAAATTTATTTGCTGCGGGTATTCAATTTGATTCGACTAGTTAAATTTTTTGTGTCGATTTGTTTTTTTTAAACTATAGTTTATTTATTAATTTATTTTTAATAAGCACATGCGTTGAAATCTTATTTCGCTCAATTTATTGGGTGTAATTTAATTAGTAAAATTGTCGAACAGAGGTCTGATATTTAGTGTGTATCTTGCGCGAAGAAATAAGTGTCAAAATAGAGTACTTAAAAAACAAATTTTTTTTTTTTTTAGCTATATACAGGGTGGCCCACCACTCACTGACAACTTAAATAACTTTTGATCCAGTTAATATTTTTAGTTGATTTTTTTTTAAAATAATATTTATACGTTAGGTCTATAGCTATATCTCAATAATTAATTTTTTTACATTTTATTAAAAATATTAATTATTTTAAAATTTTAAATAAAATGTAAAAAAAAAATCTAAGATAGCTATTTTGTAGAGTAGAATTTAAGAAAAATTTTAGTAAAAAAATATCTTATTAATATTCAGTAGTAAATATTCTGTAGCGTTTTGAAGTTTGTGAAAATTTGAATTTTCATGTACTATTTTACGGTATTAAACATTGAAATACGTATTGAGAAAAGGACAGAAGAAAACGCTATCTTTTCAATATACTTTTGAATGAGAGTGATAAGTAATAATTGCCTTATCTAATTTCTTATCATGGTATTTATGCCAAGTTTGTAATGTATACACACTATCATCATATGTATACACAGTAATCATGAAAAGATAGCGTTTTCTTCTGTCCTTTTCTCAATACGTATTTCAATGTTTATAACCGTAAAATAGTACATGAAAATTCAAATTTTTACAAACTTCAAAACGCTACAGAATATTTACTACTCAATATTAATAAGATATTTTTTTACTAAAATTTTTCTTAAATTCTACTCTACAAAATAGCTATCTTAGATTTTTTTTTTACATTTTATTTAAAATTTTAAAATAATTAATATTTTTAATAAAATGTAAAAAAATTAATTATTAAAAATATTAACTGGATCAAAAGTTATTTAAGTTGTCAGTGAGTGGTGGTCCACCCTGTATATATATTTGTTTTTTTATGTTTATTTTTTTTTTTTATTAAATTAAATCAAAAATAAGTTGTTAATTATTATTAACATACTAAGTTGCGCTAAGGAAGTTAGTTATTTATAATATGTGTCTAATATAATAAAACCCAGCACAGTGGAGTCGCGGCATAGTGGGGACTTTGCATAGTTGGGTCCAGTATAGATTTAATCTGACAGTGATTAAAATCACTATCATAAGAAACGCTTCGATGCAAATCAGTAGATAGTGTTTAATTCTAAGAAATTGGTGGATAATTACAAAAGCTACATTATCTGCTAGTTTCTTATTAATACCCTGATTAAGATAAAGTATGTCGAATGAAAAAGGGATTATTAAAAAATATTATTTCTCATAAAAAAATTGTGTTGATTCGTACACTTTTCAATGAGTTATAGCATTATAAAGTTAAAAATGTAACCAACCCAACCCAACATCAACTCCTATTTCCTTAATTATATCCAGATTAGTAATTATTTTAATTATATATTATATAATTTTTATAATTAATTATTTTCAAATTATTATTGATTTTTAATATGTTAAAAGTAATCATTTTGAACCTACTTCTTTTTGTTCTTTAAAGTGAAAGTTTTAATAAAAAAAAAATGAATTTATTACCATAACTTTTAACTCAACTTGCAAGTTTGAAATAAATATTATTAAATAGAAAAAAATGAAATTGGTAGATTATTTCAAAAACAACAATAACACTTATTCCCTTAATTTTACCCCGATTTATAACTATAATATATGAATACATAATAATTACAGTAATTAAATTGAGTATGAAAGTGGTATTCAATAATATAATATTGTAATTTTTACGGAGATATTATAAAAATAAAAAGGAGTTGTATATTCATATACTTTTAATGCGTATACAAATTTAAAGGAATTTATGCAATACTTTTTAATAAAAAAATTTTGTTACTTATGAATAAATACACTAAACAAAAGGAACTTTCATCAGAAAAAAAATATACTTTTCTAAATAAACTTTTCGTGATGTTTTCAAATGTGCAATTAAACTTTTTCTATTACTTCTAAGTTTTAATATTATTACTTATTATTAAAAAATAAGTATTTACATATAAAAAAAAATAATTAAGAACAAAAAAAATTGTATTAAATTAATACTGATTTTGATTTTTAATATGTTAAAGGTAATCATTTTGAACCTATTTTTTATTGTCTTTTAAAGTGAAAGTTTTAA